CTCCAGGCACTCGAGTGAATAGGGAACTGTGATACCGTCTGAAGGCCGATGAGGCCCAAGACGACATGCAGCTGTTTGTACTGTTATGTCTCATTGCACTAGAGCGCGTGATAAGAGTGTATGTTCAACGATTGATAGAAGAAGCTCAACACACTGCTGGGTCTCTAGCCCTGACGTCGTAAGGATCAGGAGACGAGATGCATGCCCTTGACCCGACGGGAGAAGAAGGCCCGGCATGATTGCTCCTGTTGCGCCTTCCAACCCAACGGCAGGACTGAGGTTGAATGACTGCAAGGGGATCGGATCAAGCACAGCCATGTGCAAGGTAGAGGGGAAGGAAGGAAATGGTATCCGAGAAGCTCATTCATACCTCATGGGGTGCGACTGGGAGCAGCCATTCATGGATGTCGGGATAGTGGATACCTCCAGGCCTCCATCCATGCTACCCTACACCATTCCAGTAGGGTACAAGATCGAGGTGGTGAGAACCAGCAGCCCAAGCAGGTTACCCAACAGGACGACAGAAGACCTCATTCTTGAGCATGACTGCACAGGCGACAATCGCGGCGAGTACACGTATGTCAGAGATGCTGAGCTTGGAGGATCTCAACATGGAGTCGGATGGAGATGCTCTCTGATCTGCTTCCGGGTGCCGCCTGCGCCGCCCCCCTCCCTAGGAGAGCTCCATTTTGTAGCATCTTGCACAGACACTGCAGCAACGGTATTCGTCTCTTTCCTTAGCTCCCAACACAGGCCGTTGATTACCATCTTCTTGACATCAACATCCAACGCCCCAATACTTGCACCAACCTCCGATTTCGCCAACCGCATTCTTTGTCACCATGCTCGTGTATAGTTTGCCTATTTGCTTGCGTCGAAGAGATGAAGAGGAAATGCATGCATTGATCCGGATCTCGAACAAAGTATTCAACAGCACCGTGGCACAGAGTCGCACTGGCCGGCGAGCCCGGGGCGCACTGCCGAAGCCTGCAAGGCTTAGTGTGGCGCCGGACAGGCCAGGCCCCCATCCGGCGGCCCGGGGCGTAGTCACCCGAGTGACTCGAAGGGATCAAGGTCATTCAAATCCTCCCACCCCTTGCAAACCTCTCCTCTTCACATAGCACTTGCAAGCACTTGCAAGTCTTGAAGCCCATCCAAACCTCTCCTCTTCGCATAACACTTGCAAGCCTTGACTCTATCAACCCCATCCAAACCTCTCCTCTTCGCACAACACTTGCAAGCACTTGCAACCCCATCCAAACCTCTCCTCTTCGCATGACGTATGAATAAAAGCAAATGGTTTCGTCGGGAGATCTATAGAGGCTCGATATCATCACGGGCCCGTAGTACTAAGGGGCCGGGTGGTGGGGCTGAGTTTTATCCTGAAAAAGGTAAGTATTCACCCTGCCTCCACGTATTCCCCTACCCTACCCCCCCTCCTCAAGGATTCTTGCACTAGCAACCACGGGTCCCAGGGGTGAGTTTTTGCATCCTAAACGAAGAGGAGTAGTTTCACTGGGACTCATCGATGAAGCTCTTTACCATCACCCGAACCTCGTACTGAACCCTCCTGTCCGCCCACGCGCCATGGCCGCCTCTTCCCTAGTCCTGGTCTCCCCACGTCCCCGCGACTCCCCCTTCCCCTCCTCCTCCTTCGCCAAGGTCCACGTCTCCCTCTCCACGCTCGAGCCCCTCTTCCACCTGCCCCAGGAGTCTGCCGCAAGGCGCCTGGTAAGTTCTTCTTCGCCTTGGCCCCGCTACCTTCCCCACCCTTCTCATCTCCCATCGCCAGGGCCTCCTGCTGACCCTGGTGTCCCAGGGCGTCTCGCTCACCAGCCTCAAGGCCGCCTGCCGCAAGATCGGCATCAAGCGCTGGCCCTACCGCCGCTGGCCGGAAGCTGACCTAGAGGATGACCTAGGAGCCCCTGCGCCATCTCTGACCGCAGCCTCATCTACCAACACTCTGGTCATGGAGGCTGCAGTACCGTCTCCCCCCGTGCCGGACGAGACGACTACTACTGAAAGTACCCATGACCTCACCGAGACCGAGCCGAGAAGCTCTCTAGCCGAGGCACAACCTCCTGCGCCTGTAGCAGAGAGGGATGACGGATGGCTGGCTAGCGTGAACGAGCTGGGGGAGGACCAAGAGTGGTTGTCATGGTACATGGACTGCGACGCCAGTACCGTCTGAAGGCCGATGAGGCCCAAGACGACATGCAGCTGTTTGTACTTTTATGTCTCATTGCACTAGAGCGCATGATAAGAGTGTATGTTTTACGATTGATAGAAGAAGCTCAACACACTGCTGGGTCTCTAGCCCTGACGTCGTAAGGATCAGGAGACGAGATGCATGCCCTTGACCCGACGGGAGAAGAAGGCCCGGCATGATTGCTCCTGTTGCGCCTTCCAACCCAACGGCAGGACTGAGGTTGAATGACTGCAAGGGGATCGGATCAAGCACAGCCATGTGCAAGGTAGAGGGGGAGGAAGGAAATGATATCCGAGAAGCTCATTCATACCTCATGGGGTGCGACTGGGAGCAGCCATTCATGGATGTCGGGATAGTGGATACCTCCAGGCCTCCATCCATGCTACCCTACACCATTCCAGTAGGGTACAAGATCGAGGTGGTGAGAACCAGCAGCCCAAGCAGGTTACCCAACAGGACGACAGAAGACCTCATTCTTGAGCATGAATGCACAGGCGACAATCGCGGCGAGTACACGTATGTCAGAGATGCTGAGCTTGGAGGATCTCAACATGGAGTCGGATGGAGATGCTCTCTGATCTGCTTCCGGGTGCCGCCTGCGCCGCCCCCCTCCCTAGGAGAGCTCCATTTTGTAGCATCTTGCACAGACACTGCAGCAACGGTATTCGTCTCTTTCCTTAGCTCCCGACACAGGCCGTTGATTACCATCTTCTTGACATCAACATCCAACGCCCCAATACTTGCACCAACCTCCGATTTCGCCAACCGCATTCTTTGTCACCATGCTCGTGTATAGTTTGCCTATTTGCTTGCGTCGAAGAGATGAAGAGGAAATGCATGCATTGATCCGGATCTCGAACAAAGTATTCAACAGCACCGTGGCACAGAGTCGCACTGGCCGGCGAGCCCGGGGCGCACTGCCGAAGCCTGCAAGGCTTAGTGTGGCGCCGGACAGGCCAGGCCCCCATCCGGCGGCCCGGGGCGTAGTCACCCGAGTGACCGTTCGAAGGGATCAAGGTCATTCAAATCCTCCCACCCCTTGCAAACCTCTCCTCTTCACATAGCACTTGCAAGCACTTGCAAGTCTTGAAGCCCATCCAAACCTCTCCTCTTCGCATAACACTTGCAAGCCTTGACTCTATCAACCCCATCCAAACCTCTCCTCTTCGCACAACACTTGCAAGCACTTGCAACCCCATCCAAACCTCTCCTCTTCGCATGACGTATGAATCAAAGCAAATGGTTTCGTCGGGAGATCTATAGAGGCTCGATATCATCACGGGCCCGTAGTACTAAGGGGCCGGGTGGTGGGGCTGAGTTTTATCCTGAAAAAGGTAAGTATTCACCCTGCCTCCACGTATTCCCCTACCCTACCCCCCCTCCTCAAGGATTCTTGCACTAGCAACCACGGGTCCCAGGGGTGAGTTTTTGCATCCTAAACGAAGAGGAGTAGTTTCACTGGGACTCATCGATGAAGCTCTTTACCATCACCCGAACCTCGCACTGAACCCTCCTGTCCGCCCACGCGCCATGGCCGCCTCTTCCCTAGTCCTGGTCTCCCCACGTCCCCGCGACTCCCCCTTCCCCTTCTCCTCCTTCGCCAAGGTCCACGTCTCCCTCTCCACGCTCGAGCCCCTCTTCCACCTGCCCCAGGAGTCTGCCGCAAGGCGCCTGGTAAGTTCTTCTTCGCCTTGGCCCCGCTACCTTCCCCACCCTTCTCATCTCCCATCGCCAGGGCCTCCTGCTGACCCTGGTGTCCCAGGGCGTCTCGCTCACCAGCCTCAAGGCCGCCTGCCGCAAGATCGGCATCAAGCGCTGGCCCTACCGCCGCTGGCCGGAAGCTGACCTAGAGGATGACCTAGGAGCCCCTGCGCCATCTCTGACCGCAGCCTCATCTACCAACACTCTGGTCATGGAGGCTGCAGTACCGTCTCCCCCCGTGCCGGACGAGACGACTACTACTGAAAGTACCCATGACCTCACCGAGACCGAGCCGAGACGTGAACGAGCTGGGGGAGGACCTCCTGCGCCTGTAGCAGAGAGGGATGACGGATGGCTGGCTAGCGTGAACGAGCTGGGGGAGGACCAAGAGTGGTTGTCATGGTACATGGACTGCGACGCCAGTACCGCGCATGATAAGAGTGTATGTTTCACGATTGATAGAAGAAGCTCAACACACTGCTGGGTCTCTAGCCCTGACGTCGTAAGGATCAGGAGACGAGATGCATGATCTTGACCCGACGGGAGAAGAAGGCCCGGCATGATTGCTCCTGTTGCGCCTTCCAACCCAACGGCGGGGCTGAGGTTGAATGACTGCAAGGGGATCGGATCAAGCACAGCCATGTGCAAGGTAGAGGGGGAGGAAGGAAATGATATCCGAGAAGCTCGTTCATACCTCATGGGGTGCGACTGGGAGCAGCCATTCATGGATGTCGGGATAGTGGATACCTCCAGGCCTCCATCCATGCTACCCTACACCATTCCAGTAGGGTACAAGATCGAGGTGGTGAGAACCAGCAGCCCAAGCAGGTTACCCAACAGGACGACAGAAGACCTCATTCTTGAGCATGACTGCACAGGCGACAATCGCGGCGAGTACACGTATGTCAGAGATGCTGAGCTTGGAGGATCTCAACATGGAGTCGGATGGAGATGCTCTTTGATCCTCCAAGCTCAGCTTTTATCTGTGCAGGAAGTGAAGAGTCCGTGACGGGCCTGGTCTGGTCACTCAGTCTGCGTACGATACTTCTGTACTACTGTAGTCAGAGCATGGTACTACAACAGTACCGTACAACGGTACTTGTCGCCTCATTCTCATACCCAAATATTTAACTTAACTTTGAGTAAAGAGCGCAGCGCCTCTCAGCTGCGCCCTGGGAATGCCGTATGTC